TTGGGGGTCGAACGACCCTTTCACAGGGGTCGCCTAACACCATCGGAAAACACGTATTTTCGATGGTCTTAGGAACCGAGACACCAATTTTATGGCTGGGGGCCAACACAACATGAGGAACTGTATTAAAGGGTCGCGGCATTGGGAAGGTTGAGAACCACTGGACTAGAAGTTAGAAGAGTCCCCTGCTTCAGTAGGGAGAGTGACTAGATGACCTCTGAGGTCCCTTCCAACCCTCTTCTGATTGACTGATTGATCCCTACCTTCCTCTGCTTGGATGCCCTCTGGGTGCCCCTGTCCTCTGCCCCCGCCTTGTTCAACTTGGCCCTCACCCTTTCCCAGTGCCCTGTGTCTGGTCCGAGTGGTCTCCATGGTCCTCCTGCCCCGTGACCTGCGGCTCCGGCAACCAGATCTCCCAGCGCCACCCGACCCAGCCGCGCATGTTCAATGGGGCCGAATGCCAGGGGCCATCGGTACGCTGGGCACCGTGCACTCTCCCGGATTGTGGTGAGTGGCCGGATCCCACCAAAGGGCGGGGAGGCGGGGGGCATAGAGGGGGGGTCTTCCCTCGCTCTGATCCTCTCGGCGTGATTCTTCCCCCCATGCCAGCCTGCCCAGAGGGGGAACACCGACAGCCCGCTGTTCCGTCGACTGCCTGTGAGCGCAGCTGCCGTCAGATCTACGTGGAGCTTCCCCGAAATTGCAGCTGGGGGCCGGTGCAGGGTGCCTGCATGTGTCTGCCTGGGCACTACCGCAACAGCAGTGGACACTGCGTGGTGGCTGCCCTCTGCGAGTGTGAGGAGGGAGGCCAGGTGTACTTGGTGAGTAAAAGGCAGGTGGGAGGGTGGGAGGGGTTTAGAGAGTCAGGCCAGAGAGAATCAATGTAGCTGTGTTTTTATTATGATGATCCTATCTGTTATCCATCCATCCATCCATCTACAGTATCTCTCTGTCTCTCTCAATCCATCCATGCATATGTCTATCCATCATCCTATATCTCTCTGTCCATTCATTCATTCATCCATCCTTATCTATCTATCATCTATCCATCTCTCTCACTCATCACTCATTCATCTATCTATACGGGTCCATCATCTCTCTCTCTCCCTCCCTCCCTCCTCCCCCCATCTCTCATCTGTCTGTCTGTCTGTCTATCTATCTATCTATCTATCTATCTATCTATCTATCTATCTATCTATCTATCTATCTATCTATCTATC